TTTTATGGCTCTTGTAGTTTTATGGGAGATTAAAAATTTCAATATTTGTCTGCTTCTTGGTTTGGAATTATGATAACATAGATTGTATCTTGACATTTTCCTGCAGTTGACAGGAGCGGTTGGTTCCGCTCATTTAATAGACCCAAAAGTTTCAGTAAAGCATTCCAGAATCATCAGAGTTCAAGATTGACAACTCAATTACAAACTACATCACACATTCTCTAATTACCCCATAAACTTAAAAGCTTCAAGTTGCTTCAAGTATGTCACTATAAAATATTTTACTACCATTTTTATTACTGACAAAAGCTTTTCAAAGTTACACAAAAAAATCATAATGAGTCGAAAACCTCAAATACAGAAAGTTACAACATCTATAAAACAATTAGACAATTCTCCCCAAAAAAGAAGCATAATCATCATAGTATAAAGTAATACATACATCAAGAAGAGCATGACGCAAAAGGAAATAATAGTAAAACTCTGAAAGCTTTTAAATAAAAGTGAAAAGTTTCATCAAATATTTTTACTGCGCATTAAATCTTCTCTACTGTGTATGTATGTCTTCAATGACGACGATGATGTGACTCTTTCTTCTTCTTCTTTTCCTTTTTCTGTTCATTTCATCAGTAGCACAGTCAATAATGGTTCAACTATTGAAGGCTTTTAGTAGACATGAACAGGGGCGTAGCCAGAAAATTTTTAAGGGGTGGCCCATTTTCGAAAATTAAAAAACCGTTATTTTGTATCCTTAAATCTATATTCATTCTTCATAAATTTAAATATTTAATTCATTATTCATACATTAAATTTAATTTTTCGTGCTGATTTTGACATTTCTTTCATCACTTCCTCTACATTAACTGGTTCTTCTCTATAAATACTTAATAAAACAATTATCAGATTTTCGTAGGGGGGGGGGTTTCCCCTGGCTACGCCCCTGGACAAGAATGTTGTGTTTGTGTTTGTTGCCATTTTTTTTATTCTTTTTGTGGATGTAAAAGAAGTTCAAAACTGTTCAAAACCATGAATAAAAGAAGGACATAAGATTGTAAAATGCATGTAAAGGGGACATTAATAGCACTTCCTATTGCCCTCCCTTTTGCCTTGACATGTTTTAAAAGGAATCTTTGTAATGTAGACGATGCGTAACATCAATCTCAGCCATCCATTAATGCCTATGTCTTTCCTTTTTAACACACAAAACGAAATCATCAGAGGAGGAAGAAGTAAAATGGATGATTGAGGGAAAAAATGTTGAATAGGATGAAAGATACAGGAAAATGGTAAACTCATTGTGTATTATTGGTTGGACCAATTCATTTTGTACGTTTTTATGTAAAAGGGATGCATACGTTTAGCTATTTTAAGGATGATAACTTTTGAACAACATTTTATCTGATTTTTAAAATGAATAATATATTTGGATTCAAACTTGAGGTATGGCTCTTACCTTCCGTCTCTCCTCGAATTTCTGGATACGCTGTTGTTTTGTAGATGGCTTGCTAGAGGCTGTTCAGAGTCATTTTTTAGAGAATTCTTTGGTGTTAGGATTTTATCTTATTAGAACTAAGCGGGAGCCAATTGGCAATGACAGCCACGTGGCAACCACTTGACATCCAGTTGGAAGTTGCTTCAATGAATATCAGTGTGTGCCGGTCGGGGAAGCTTTACTCCGAAAAGATGAATAATCTGATTCAGGCTATGCAAGGTTTATGCTGGCTTGTTGGGCCACCTATGTGATAAAAGCATTGCCAAGCCTTTGCATTTCAAACAACCCCTCCAACCATTCACTTTATTCACAATTTTGCCCCAATTTTTTTTCATATTCGTTAAAAAAAACTTTGTTACTCATGCTGGTCTGAGTATATTCACAACTTTTCTCCCCATGCCTACGCACCGCATCAACAAACTAATTTACACAATTGACCAAGGAGAAGAAGCACGTAAAATCTCGAATACCTTAGTGAAAGGAAAATTTTCTAACAAAAATGAAAGTAAAACTTGTGTTGAAACAATTGCCATTTTATCCTCAAAGACAAAGGACAAAAAAAAGACAACAACAAAAAAGTTCATGTTTAATGTCAATTAGACTGAAGAAAAATAGAATTTATTGCCGTCCGTAAAGGTAAAGGAAAAGGAACAAAAAACAAAATCTGACTGTGATCGAAAGCAAAAAAGGAGAATAAATAAAGGAAGTAAGAAGAGACATTTAAAGGGAATAAGGCTTAAAATAAAATTTTAGAAAATAAGGTTCATATTTTTTTTTGCACTTGAACATCAATTCAAAGTGCTGGGGAATAAGTAGAAGTAATCACATTACATCAATTTCAATTGAATTAAATTTTCTTTCTTTCCATTCGTTTGAAATGTAATTCAAGATATTGATTTCTGAAAATATTTTTCCTTCTTCTTTGTTCGCAATGTTAATGCTCTTAAAGTTGACTAGAGTGCTTCTGTCCTGAATGGTTTCGTCAAGTCAAGCATTATTTATTTTTGTGAAAAGTTTTTTTTCTTTAAATTTTTGGGTTTCTTTGCCTTGTTTAAACAAAATTTAAAGTATTTATAATTTTAAACTACTCAAGTGTCTTAACAGAGTTTAATCTAGAGTATCAAGCCATATGTGGACGAATCTGCTTGTGCTAGAATTAAACGTCTGTGGCGCAAATGAGTAGGTAATTGACCGAATATTAGTAACCCTTTTCTCTGAGGACGTGAGTTCGATTCCCACAAGCGACCAACCTCCCCTTTATTATAAAGAATGTTGTCGATATGACAAGGATTCGAACAGTGCTTTAGAACATTAAACAATTTCTTAATCATTATAAAGAATGTTGTCCACGACTTGAAGCACTTACAAACCTAATATTAATATAAACACCATCCTCATTCAATTCTTTAAGTCATTTTCATTTCAAATCAATAATTAATGGCCAATTTGACATTAAGCTGTACCCAATATCTCGTCACTCTCTTTGTCACATTAAACATTGAAGCATAATCCTATTAAATATTACAATATTGTTTGCATATTTCATCCTCAAATAAATAAGGGTCAAGTCTAATTCGTGCTTTGAATTATAAAATAAATTCTATGCTTGGTCAGGAATCAAATTGTCTGTCATCATAAAATTATCAAAACTTGTGTGCTCGGAAAAATGTAAGGTATGCACAAGTTTTTTTTGTAATATTGATTTTAATGATGGAGAAAAAATTGTTATGGATGGAATCTCATAATGACTAAATAGCCCGAATAAACCTTTTTCTCCCTTTCTCCCAGAATGTTTGCTTGAAGGTCTATTGAGGTCGCATGCTTGACATTTCAGAGACTGTTGGCATTTCATTTTTGATTGTTTATTAGTGATGTATGGACAATTTTGTGTATTTTGCAGTATTTTTTGTGGATGAATGATGAATTTGTATATAGCTTGGATGTCCAAGAGCTTTTAGGGGATTTAAGGGATTATCTTAAATAGATGAGCTTTGTGAATATCTCAGAAACTTGATCAATCATGAAAAAGTAAAAAATCTTAAAGAGAGCCACATTTCCCACAAAGAATATTCTCATTTATTTCTTGCATCGCTCGAAAGCTCATCCAAACATGAATTCATTTGGGCATTCTATTAAAGATGGATGCAAATAAATGTATATACATTTTTCACATGAAATACTCAAGCAATTTATTTTATATCTTTATTGATGAATTTCTGGATTGTGGTTTTCTGATTTCATTAGATACGTACATGAAGACAATTCCAATTGAATTCTTTTCATTTATAGATAATAAATCATTGGCAATATGATGCAGATTTTGTTGTAGACATTAAAACTAATTCTTCTTTCGGCAATCATGAAGAAGAAAGTTTGTAACTTTTTGGTATCCTTGATCTCTTCCCAATCACTTATTTGATTAGGCTGCATGAAAAAGTTATCGATCAAAGTCAGAAACTCTCAAATCCAATTACTGAATATTGTGGATGAAACGCATTATTTTCTTAATGGAGATAGATAAAGAATATTATGGGTGGGTATGGAGAGGTTTATTGAGTGGACAAAGAAGAAATTTTGTTGAGAATAACATAACAAAAATCATTAAGTCGAGTGAGGATGTTGAGTTCAAAATGATGACTGTGGAAGATGCTTTTGGCATTGGCAACAGTAACAAGAGTTGTTTTTTTATAATGTTGATTTCAATTTTTAAGCTTTATTCAGCTGAATTGAGGTCTATTCAGCTGAATTGAGGTCCATTCAGCTGAACTGAGGTCTATTCAGCTGAACTGAGGTCTAAACAGCTGAACTGAAGTCTATTCAGCTGAACTGAGCTCGATTCAGCTAAACTGAGGTCTATTCAGCTAAACTGAGCTTTATTCTGCTGAATTGAGGTCTATTCAGCTGAACTGATGTTTATTCAGCTCAACTGGGGTCTATTAAGCTCAACTGACATCTATTCAGCTGAACTGAGGACTATTCAGCTGAACTGACGTCTATTCAGCTGGACTAAGGTATATTCAGGTGAACTGAGGTCTATTCAGCTCAACTCCTTATTATACTTCCGACTCTAAAAGAAACTTGCCTTCTTCCTTATAAATCAATGCCTATTTTCCACTATAAATCATATGAAATGCCATTAAATTCACATAATTCAAAAATAAACTTTTAATAATACACATCGAGGTCGTTCACTCATTTATCACAGAAATTAAACCCTTGCTGATTATTAACTTCAGATATGAAACTTTACTCAATAATTTATTTCCTTTGAGATGAAAAGCGTTAAATTGAGAACGAGAAAGTTGAGAAAATTGAGTTTTTCGTATATTAGACATTGGAGGTTAACCAATCGATAAACTCATTATTGCTTTGTTCGCCTTTCCCCTAGCTATTGAAGACTTATAGAATAAGAAAATTTTCTCCTCAAGATTTCATTTCAATTCATTAAAGATATTAATAAAAAATAAATTGAATTTTAATTTGACAAAAAAAAATTATTTCATTTCAGAAATTCGTTCAAGGTCTATCAATATTGTCGCGTGGCTCATTAGAAGAGAAACTTTGTTGGACATTTCAGCTTTATGACATTAATTCGGATGGTCACATAACGAGGGAAGAGATGAGTGACATTGTGACGGCTGTTTATAGTTTAATGGGACATCCGCCCGAGGATAAAGTCAATGAGGAGACTATTAAGGAGAGAGTTGAAAGCATGTTCAATGTGAGTATCTATGCATCGTCTATGTACAATCATTTTAATTGAATTATCAAAAAAATATCCCGAAAAAAATGCTCTGAATGCACAAAAAAAGCTCATGTCAGATGTAAATGATAAATTATTCATTGTGTTTCGGCAGAAACATATAAAAGATAATTTGTCAGCATATTTCATATGCATTGGTGAGAGGAGGAAAAATCCCAAAATTTAGTACTGCTAGTTCCTCTCACAATCAGATTTAGAGATAGCGCAATGACATGAAAAATGAATTTTTTTGTGCATTCAGTGATTTCAACCATGATTATTTATTGCTTTTCATTGTTTTCTTCTTTTTGTGCTGTTTTATTGAGCGCGTTTTTTGATGGAGGAATTGAATTTTGTTTTAGATTGTGTATTAAAATTGGTCAGTTTGAGGGTTGAGGTCTGGCTTTGGAAGATTTATCTAGACTTAGTGTAGCAAAATTTGAGCAATGGGGTTGTTTAGAGCAATTTTAAGTTGGAATCCATTACTTCCCTCTTTAATTCTTCTGAATATGACCCTGTCTGGGTCTGATAAATACACTACTTTAGATAGCATAGGACTACTCAGAGACTGTCATACATTTCAGATTTAACGGACCTTAGTAAGTCAACAATCTCCAAGCAAATTCAAAAATCCACCATTAAAAACGCGCTCAATTCCTTTCATTCATAAAAAACCTTCACAATTTTTTTCTTTCTTTTCTCTCTTTTCATTCATTTCAACCACTCGGACCCTTCAAATGCATATACATAAATGGTTGGTGTGTAAAAAAAAATTCAATTGAATTCTGCAACAAAACTGTACAACATACATAATAAATGTCATTGTGAATTACTACTGGGGAATACTCATCAACCCATCTGTGGTAACCACAACTACAAAACAATGTGCATAACTACAAAAAAAATTCTTCAATGCAGAAAATGGATCGAAACCATGACGGTGTGGTGACAATAGATGAATTTCTTGACTGTTGTCGTTGCGATAAAGCTATAATGAATTCAATGCTCGTTTTTGATTCAACCATTTGACCATATGACGACAATGGCTTGGATGGAAACACTTATGGTGGCATTTTGGGTACAAATTCAATAATGTCATCGAGAAATCAAAAGGAAGTAAAAAATTCAACTTCTGTCGTTAAAGATAATCGCGATAATCAAAACATAAATCATTCCAATTTTCAAAACCATCCAAATGCCAAGCATCAGCATTACAATGGCTGCGGAGGCTCAACAAAAATCTCGCATTACATTCGAAGTCATAAAAATTCATCGTCCTCGTTTAGTAAGAATTCAACCAATAGTCATAGATCGACAGCCCAACAACATTATCATACGCATCAAACAACTGTCTTTGGCAATAAAATGAAAAATAATATTGGTCATAAAATGAGTCAAACGAAGCGCATTCAATTGTCTACAGCAGCTAAACGTTGCAAATCAATAGAAAAATCAAACGCTGGCGACAATAATTCCAAAGCCATTAATCTCGATAACATTTGTAAGGCTGATGATTATGTTGATAATAATGAGGATGACAATTCTCTACCGCTCGTTAATGCGCTCTCGCGTCAAATAAAAGATGATTTAAGTGCTAATAATAGCACACAAACACAATCAACGGAATCGCCAACGCTTGTTAGAGTTAAAATGTGGCAAACTGAATCGTGTGTTATTTTACCCCATCATATGGCGTGATATTTAGATATTGATCTTTGACTCTTTTATCGTCTTTAACAGTCGTTATCAAATGTATAAGTTTTATTAGCAAAACAATGAAGAATTGGTTGGTAAGGAGGTTAGATGATGTTTGGTGGATGCTGTGAAGATTAATGGGTTTTGTTCAGGGGCGTAGCCAGAAAATTTTTAAGGGGGGGGCCCATTTTCGAAAATTAAAAAAACCGTTATTTTGTATCTTTAAATCTATATTCATTCTTCATAAGTTTAAATATTTAATTCATTATTCGTAAATTAAATTTAATTTTTCGTGCTGATTTTGACATTTCTTTCATCACTTCCTCTACATTAACTGGTTTTTCTCTATAAATACTTAATAAAACAATTATCAGATTTTTGTAGGGGGGGGGGGGGCGTTCCCCCTATGCCCCCCCCCCTGGCTACGCCTGTGGTTTTGTTTGATAATTCATCAAAAAAATCTTGTCAACAAAAGGTTAAAACTTAATTTTCTCATTAAACCTTCTTATCTTCTACATCATCACCAAACCATATCTTATCCTTCACCACCAACTTTCATCTCTTGACATGTATTATCATGAAATAGTAGAAAAGAAATTTAATTATAGTTATATTATCAAATTGAAAAATTTTTCAACTCATTCTATCTAATTGTGCTATCAAGAAAATTCCATTCTTTTCTCCTTCTCTTATTTTTTTTGCTGCACTCAACTATGACGATAACTTTTGTTCTTACGTCCCAATCGACATTATAATTACATTTTTTTTTTCACAATCAACTGCACTGGCGAAATTGCACTTAAAATGATTATTAAAGTTTTATTGTTATTGAGGGTGTGGCAATATTGAATTACTGATTATACTGATTATGGTACAATAGATTCTAACATCGAACAGGATCGCAGTGCATTCAGCTCGTCGCATCGTGTGGAAATACATTGCTTTGCTGGAAGCCTTTAATATTGTTATTATACTGATTGTTCAGTCTAAACTTAATGTTGGAGTGATATTTTAATGGTCTTTGGAAGTGACAGCTCTGTTGGATTTGGATTTAAGACAAGATTATAATCTTGAATTGAAGAATTATTAAAATTTTCATAATTTTCAATCAAGGGTGTGAAACTGAAGAATTACATTTTGATCATTTTTGATCAATTTTGATCAACTTTGATCATTTTTGATCATTTTTTGTTCATTTTTGATCATTTTTGATCATTTTTTGATCATTTTTGATCATTTCATAGTTCCACACCCTTGTTTTCAATTAGGGACCGTTCACTTATGAAAGGAGTGGGTTCCTGGAATTTTATTGTTCTTTTTTGAAAAATGACCGTTCATATCGGCACCTAAGACATCTAAAAACACCAAATTATCACCATACGTAACTGACATTTGCCACACAAGTTCTGGCTCAACTCCATCCATCCAGAAAACAGCAGATTGATACAACTTTTTCATCAAATATGTCCTCAAAAAACAAATCCTATCGATTAATATTAAAAATAGGCTCGAAAAATTGATGTGTCATGAAAATATTTATGTATTTTTAGTATTTTAATGAATCATAAATTTTCAGCCTGATCGATCATAAAGTGGGTTAAAGGAAAAAGAATGAAAGCGACAAATCGGCACTATTGAGAACTTTATTTTTCAAAATCATGTTTGTATAACAATAAATAAGCTTTCTATATCATTGTTAAGTGCTTCTGATCCCTTTCTGTCAAGTATATGAATCGTTTACGTAAGAAAGCTTTGTGAGACATTGACTGTATCTTGTGTAAACTTTTCCATCATTTAACGAGTGTCCTCATTTCTTTCCTACCATCGTCATCGTCATGAAAATTGTGACATAGTAAAAATAATGTTAATGATGACACAGCGTTATTAAAATTGTGTTTGCATCTGTAAATGTATTGAAAAATGAAATTTTACTTCCAACAATAGCTAAATCTGATTTCTATAAATTCTAGCACATTTTTCTCCTGAAAGATTATGAGTTATTGCTCATATTTTTTGCTGACTAGATTTCTGATTTAGCATTTTATATAAGAAATTCTATGCTGAATTTGAATGGAATGTTGAATATTGTGGAAGTAAACATGCTGAAAATGAAGTCAACTGACATCTGATAAACGTCTGGATTGGAAGAGATCTTTGGGGCTTGATTAACTGAAAGAAAAAAAAAAGAAGATTTTTGCTAAAGATTTAGAACGTTTATATGCTGCTTTTATTACTTATATCCAAAGAGATTTATTTCCTCAATCTACAGTCAATAAATTGGACTATGAAAGCTTATTGCTTAGAGTTTGCGACTACTTGCAACATTGTGCCTAAAAGTCAACTATTCCTTGTTGAATTTTCAATATAAAGTTCCTTAAGTATCAAAATCAAGTTTCAACATTGACTAGTCTAATCATCTGAGCTACCAACACTTGAATATTAAATTTCTTCCCGATTCAACAAACTTGAAGATTTCTTTTCATTCCAAAACATCAAAAACTATAAATTCCAAATGATCATGAAGCTTATTTTAAATGCACCAACATCTGAAGTGCCAAACCCTCCGAGAACAAACAAAAATCCTCAAAGCATTCACAAAACACAAAGCAAACAAATCATCCCATATGAGAAGAACAACGTTAATCATCACTCAAAAAAAAAACTGTTTCCTCTGTTCCTCAAACAATCAAAAGCATCATTTAATATTTTTTTTTTCCTGTAAAGCATGCAACAACAAAGAGTGGAAAGAATAAAACTACCGTTTTTACACTTCATTATTTTCAAAGACTATTGCATTCATCATTATGTTCACATTCATCCATTCCTATTCTTCACTGTTACCACTTTTTGTATGATGCCTTCCTCTCCCTCATCTCGCGAGCAATTTCTCTCCACTTTCCTCTCAATGATTTTTTTTACGCTTTTATGTTTATATTATGGTACAGTGAGCTTTACATATACTTTCACGTATGAGAAATAAAATTTGATGGAGCATATAGCTATGCTTTTATATTTTTCATGTCAACTTTATCATAAATAGATAGATGTGTACCTTTTAACTGATAGTCCTGGATGGAATTTTATGAAGTTCGATTTTTTTTTTTGGGTTTTGATGGATTAGCTCCTTAGGAGGAATAAGGCGAATTTGGCACCATTTATACACATTCCTGAAGTCCTAGTTAGAAATTTTCATTTTTCAGGACGTGGTTCATCAGCAGCTGCTTAGATATCCACTGTAGTGAGCACAGTCAATACCGCATTTTCTCATTCTTCTTAACAATGCATCCATCCATGCAAATTTCTATCGATACATCTTTGAAACAGCTTCAACATTTCCATGACAAAAAAGTAATAAATTTTATGAATATTGGGTGGATGCAAATACGTGAATGAAGACTTATGTTGCAGATAATATTTTTTTCTCTGTTTATATGCATTAATATGTACATCTGTATTGCATCTCTTTCTACAAACGAGACTTCCATTTGATGAACATGAGAATAAAGATAAAGGAGAATTTATTTTTTGTTCCTTTCATATCCAATGTTGAGCACGATAGAAGCAAATCTGACAGAGTATGAGAAGAAAAAAAAAATGTTAAGTTGAAAGCAGACAGTAATGAGGGAGGAAGCTCTAAGCCATAAAATTCTATGATGTAGGAAATATATAAAGCATACATAAGCAGTTTACTGTGCTACATATGATGAGTCACATATATCCTTATCCTTTTTTGTGTTTATCATGAATGCAGCAATTCAAAAATGGAAAGCAATTTTATTCCTCAAAAGACTTCTTTTTTACTGTTGCAAAAATATCACAAAGCTTGTAATTGTGGGAGGAAATTTATGCATTTTAGATTACAGACTTTTGTTGTTTACAACTAAAGCTATTCTACGTTTTAGTGAAGAAAAGAAAGTTAATGAAATTTTTTACAGTTCCTTTTGTGACAGAATTGAGAAAAGAATAACAAACTTTGTAAGTTTGTCGGAATGTTTTATGCCAGAGCAGTCGTAAAACTAACTTTATTCGGCTGAATTCATTCGGTGTGATGTTTCAAATATACTCGATTACATGGCAGAGTTCAGAAAGTTTAACTGATATGGTTGAACTGACTTTTGAGTTTTGATGTGAATGTGGAATGGCTGTTGAACTTGATTAGGATTGTTTGGATGTTACGGAGCGGTAAAATTAATATTTTGGACATTCTTTATTATTTACAACAACTTATGATTAAAGTCTGATTTTGGACTTTTGCTGTTTGACACTCAAGCATGACCCAACAAACTTACGAAACTAAGACACATTTTTTTGTCTTGAAGACCACATCATGACTCATCTCTTTAAAGCTTTAATATAAAACTGAATGGTTGAAGAAACAATGAGCTTGCAATTTTCCAATCAATGACATTTTTGTTGGACAGTTCATTGTTCTGATACTTCATTACTGAGATTAAGGAATGAGTAATGATTTTATACATTAGATGAGTTAAGGGAATTGAAGTGGGTGATTAAAGGAGAGAGCATAAAAGAATCGATATTTAATTATTATGCAAATGAAGTTTCTGATTGTTGTGATGTCTGTTGATTGAGGTAAGGAGTTATTGTTAAAAGACATCCTCTGTGTGTAGCTTGTTATTCAAATGTAATTGAATTGAACAATTTACTGGGGAGACTAGGTTTGTGCCTAAATTGACTTTTCCACTAAAAATACACAGACCCTCAGCCTCAATTCTACTAAAATTTCATAAATTCCAAAATTCCACAACTCACCTCAATTTAAATATTCCAAAAAAAATCAAATAAATTCCACCAATTCCTGAACCAACATTTCCAACATCTTCTCGCATACAAGCAGTATTTTGTGTGTTATATTTAAAAATAAGCATGCATATAAAAAATGTTTTAGTACAGACAAAATTATATTATCCACTTTTATCAGTTGAGTTTTATATGCCCTAGCTAGATCCTCGTACACGCTCAACTTCAATTTTTTCTTTCAACGC